GTAAAAAGTGGCGTACGCAAGTTTCTGGGCTCAAATTGTGCGTACGCCAGTTTTATAAATCCGACCCCAGATGATTTAGTCCATCCTTATACATAAAATCCCAGGGTTTATTACCGCCTATTTTTCTCTTTCCCCATGACTGCGGGTGTGCTGGTGTGCACATGTGCATGCATCATAAAAAGCTGTGACAGCTGGCCACATGTTGTCTGCTGTGCTCCTCCCCCCCCCCCACCATGTGGTTTAAACAAAAGAATTATTCTCATTCGTTCCAGAGATGACAGGCAGCAACACCCTTTCCTGGCACTCCGGCGGGGCTCAGCTGAGTTTCGACTACAAGATGAATAATGTAGTGCCACACAATGATGACGGGCACGTTATGAATGATGCAGGAACACTGGAGGGTGGACAGGAAGAGCCAGACAACATCAGTCCTCCGAGCACRTGGGCCACTTTTACCAGCTGCACTGGAAGCSAACAGGGGACAATTCTAAAAATATTTGCAACACAACCTGTACATCCACCTGTGATGACCTGTAAACTCACACGCACAAAGCATAGCTGCACGCTCACACAGTTCTCAGCTCCAAAGAGAGAAGCCCTGATTCAGCAGGCAGAGGATCAGGGTCAGAGTCAGCTGATACAAGGTCAGCTTAGCATCATAGCCGTGCCCCCCCGGGGCCATTCTGGGGTAAGGATGACAGTAGCCCCTCAGGCTGGGAGAGTTATCCGTCACAGGCGGCATCACACATAACTCCACTGTATGAGATCCAGCAGCAGATAGGTCAAAGACCCCCCAATCCACCCGCTCCTGGTGGGCTTTTCTAAGGAAGCAACAGCTGAAAGTGTGACTGGAGCTGTGCTGAAGAGGATGAGGAAGGACATGAGGTTGTGACAAATAAGTGTCAAAGCACGAGTAAAAAAAAACATGTTCCTCTTTGCATGAACTCTCAACTTTGACCTTTAGGTATATTTAGCTCTTTTATCCTCAAGTGTGGAGATTCATTCATAACATCACGTGGAAATTACAGAAACACAGTAATATGAGGAGCAATGTCATTTAAAACACCTAACATAATATGATGAAATGTTGATTATTATGTGGTAATGTTCTCTTTTCTCATTGGTTACATTGTCCTTGCACAGTTCAATAAAAGACTCACCGCTGGAACTCATGATGCCCAACGTGTTCTCATCCAAAACAAAGCTCCTGTAATTTAATCCATAAAGCGCGAGGGAATGTTCAGCWTATAGTTCCCTGATTCAAAATGTTTAAAACTGATATCCTGTAACAAAAGAAAAATACAAATCTTCAAAATTTTGTTCCTCAGTCTCGCCAAGAACGCGTCAGTTCCAGTCAAAATCATGTGAAGACGCTGAAAAATGTATAGAAAAATATATATAAAAAAAGAGAGGGACAAAACAGGATAATTCCTATAATTATCTGCTGTATCCTAAATAAAGCTCCGGTTCTTCCAGTGTGAACGTCGCCTGTTTGTTTTTTTATTTTTTTTTATTTTTTTTTTTCCTTTTGTTGTTGTTTTTGTTTTCTTCCCAGTCACAATGAAACGACGCTGCTCTTTTGGGGTCCACCTTCAAATGTTTCGCTCCCGGCTCATCCCCTCTCAGCTCCGCCGCGCGCTCCTGCCGTGTCCCACCCGCGCGCCTCTCTCATCCGCCGCTGTCAACACAGACACCGGATAGAGCCGGAGCTGGATGCTTTCAAAATAAAACTAAGCGAGGAAAAAAAAATAACCTAAATTTTTTTTCTCATATGAGCTGTCAAGAAAGACAAAACACAAGTCTGTAAAATGTATCCAATCAAATCACGACGTTAAATGTATAAAAATAAATATTTTTAATGGGTACATTATTTTCTACTTTATAATTAGGCCAATCGTACAAAACTTGGTCTGATCATTTTAGTCCGGATTTTATGTGAATTTAAGTTGTAATGGGAATTATTGCTTCTGTTTAATTTTAACTTAAATGTGTAGTCTAAACCAGTGGTTCCCAAAGTTGGGGTTGGGACCCAAAGTGGGGTCCTGAAACATCAAAGTGGGGTCCTGAAAAGATTTTCTAAATTAATTACATTTTTGCCTTGCCTAAAATGTATACATGAAGAATAATAAATATTGTTACTGCGCCCATGTTTAGATGACCTGATACAAATGTTTATCATCCAAAAATAGTTGTGGTCACAGGGCTCTGCTGCTGTTATTTTGTGGGTCAAAAGCTGAAAAGTTTGGGAACCACTGCACTTCAGAAATCAATTTAAAGGGTAATAAAATAATTGGTGATGTAATATTTTCCCTATAATTATTACAAAAACACAAGATAAGTATAAATAAGTATTTATATTTGTGTAGCCTTTGTTTCTTAGGGTTATTTACAAATTTTGTGTACTCAGACCGGTAATATTTGGAATCACAAGTTTTTGCAAAGAACATTTTGTTGGTCAGAAGATAAAAAGTTTGGAAACCTCTGGTCTAAACGGCTTACACCAGAGTTACGTTTTTATGTTCTTTTTATTATTTTATTGTTTGCGTCGTCTTTGTTTGGCTAATTTTAACTTTATTTTGAAATCCTTTCACACAGTTTCCGTTTAGAGTCCTGCGCTCTGACGGTGATTTGACGCCTCTCTGTTTTATTAGACGTCACTCTGAGCTTCTACAGAAGCTTTGAGGGACAGAATAATCTCCAGCTCAGCGTTAAGAAGTACTGGATGTTTAAAAGTCTCCAGTCTTGACTCGGTCTGAGCACCAGGTGAGGCCTGGAGGACATTTGAATGCGTCTGAAATCATTTCAATTAATTTAAGAAAAAAAGTCACTTGATATTCAGCAGAATATTTTGAATTTTACAGGCGAAATCCTGTTGAAAATGCTTCAAACGGAGTGAAAAAGGTTTATTCTGCTGGGCTGGGCTTGTTGCTCAAACTGTTCAGACACCGCCCTCTTCTGGACAATAGACGTAAGCAAACGAGCTAATTGGATTGTTGATGCTTAAAATCCTGCTGAGTGGATTAGATTAGATGTGCTGCAATTAACCTCTGTTATGTCACACATAACATCTGAAATATGCCATCATTACATTAGTCATTGCTTATGAAAAAAATAGAATCAGATTCAGTTTAATTCTTTGGTCGCATGATCGCTAGGTTGTGAGGTGAAGGGTTGTTTGTCTCATTTGTCTCATTGTGTACTCGTGATGGACTTGAGGCCTGCAGGATATCCCCCACCTGTCGTACAGTGGCTCCAGGAGAAAGGCACCATCATCTCCCTGCAACCCAGAAAAGAGAAGCAGGTAAAAATAAAAATGGAGTAACAACCTCCTTACCTCCACCATGGGTAATGGCTGGGTCTTCCAGCACGACAATGACCCAAAACATCCAGCCAAGCAACAGGGGAGTGGCTCAAAAACAAGCACATTAAGGTCATAGAGTGGTCTAGCCCAGTGGTTTCCAAACTTTTTATCTTCTGACCCACAAAATATCCATTGCAAAAACTTGTGACCCTAAATATTACTGGTCTGAGTACACAAACTTCGTTAATAACCCTAAAAACACAGGCTTTTTGACAATCTAAACAGCTTGCACACAAATATAAATACTTATTCATACTTATTTTGTGTTTGTAATAATTATAGGGATAATATTACATCAGCAATTATTTTATTACCCTTTAAATTGATTTCTGGAGATTATCCAAGGTGCTTCATGACCCATAATTGGGTCCCGAGCCCAACTTTGGGAACCAAAGTGCAG